AAATCAAGAACTTTGGATTCTAAGCCTCGTACGTTTTGATAATAACAGTGAAAATTGTAATTGGGTGATTCAACTAGTGTAAAGAAATTATTTTGGGTATTCCTTTAATGTAACAAATAACTAAATTTGATTCACCATTATCTAATCGTTCAGAAAGTTGTTTTTAAGGGCTTTGTATTTTTCTATTTGGTTGGGTGTTTTGTCCGAAAATATAGAACAGTTTTTATATTCAACAGAATTTTTGAGGTTTTTGGAAAATTCGAGGAGTGCAAAAACACCAGAATCACTTCATAATATAATTTTTATGGGTCGACCACGTGCTGAGTTGTTGGCACCAAGTTTGCCTAAACGAAACATTTTTAAGTTTTATTAGTGATTTGCTGCTTTAAAGTATCAACTATTTATGACAACTTATAGGTCATGGTCCATTGTGATAAAGAAATTATTAGATTTGAATTGAAACAGGGTTGTTTCTCACAGAAAGACCTGAATACGCCTCAACGATATACTGGCGAATTACTTTTATATTCGTACCGATTAACCGCAAATAAAACAGACGTAGAGATCTTTACATAGCTATTTTATCATATGGTGTAGCCTTAATGAAATTGATGCTGGATTTCTAAAGTGGGAGGGTTGAATTTATCGAATTGTCAACAATTTATTTTATCAGATTTCCTTCTATAAAAAATTACATTTCACTCTTTTCAGCGCCGCCATCATCCGTTGAAATTTTACACTACCGGCATAAATCAAAAATTGAAATAAAAGAAAATCAAGAGTTCCATCTCGAATGCAGAGTGCGAAATGCAAAACCGGCAGCAAAAATTGTCTGGTACAGAGGAAACGTAGAATTAAACATACGTAAGCACTTTAAATATTTGCTCGACTTGAGATGACAAACTTTTTGATTGTAGCCAATCGCGATGATCAAATAATTGAAGTTCCCTGCAAACACGGGAACAAAAGGGTTACCAGATACGACACGCATTCTCGCATATCGTTGAAGCCAACAGCTGAAGATGATCATGCCGAATACACGTGCGAAGCGATGCACGAAGCGTTATCTTCCGACATACCTATGAAAACAACAGTGCAGTTTAGTGTATTCTGTAAGTAACTTCACTCTTTATCGTTTAACACACTCTAACTCCGAATATGCTCAGATCCGCCTGGTTTGCCATATATTGAGGGGTATACGGAAGTACCTCCGTCTAATTCGTCACCCAGCTTAGATGAGGAAAACTTAAAAAATTTCTCCGATTTCCTTATAACAGTGGGCACTATTGTGGGCACCTTAATAATACTAATGAACGTCTTGCTAATTGGTTGTTTCTTACATAGAAGATCCAAGAAACGTATTTCAGGTAATTAATACGTTTTATTTTCTTTTAAACAAGATTTACCGAGAATTGTTATTTATTAGTGTTTCTGTTATTGGTATTTTCTTTTTAATTACCAACATCGAATTAATTGCCGGTTGCATGCTTAAACGAAGACTTAAAATAATCCGACATTCGTTTTCACATTTGATAGTTTATTTATTCGCCTATTTTATTGATCGCAGTAGTTTATATACTCGTTTCATATTTTTTTCAGAACACAGTAATCAAACTCGTACATCGGCTACCATCGAAATGTGTGCTCCGAATAGCCACAACGATACCGTCACAGGTGAAACATTATCCTCAGTTAATGAGAAAAGCGCAACTTACAATAACGAAGAGAGTAACAACGATTACGTGGTAAGTTTTTTTTTAATAAAAACTTTAGCACTTTTAATTTTTCAAATGATCAGTACCTACTAATTGACATTAAATTTTCTGATTTCTTTGATGAAAGACCTCACTTGTGATTATAAATAAACCAAACTGACTCTTCAATTACTCATCAATATCCTCAACGACTGTGTATGTGAAAATGATGACAATGCTGAGAGGTTTATAGTTTCGGTAACTAAAAATTAACCTTTTCTACTTTTGTAAAACTTTAAAATGTTCGCAAAATAATATAAATAATTAGATTCATGATCAGAGACAACAAGATGTGAAAAAGCATTCAGATAGTCTTTTTATTTGACAAAATGGCTACATCTGTATAATCGTAAATAAATAAATAAATTATTATAAATAGTTTTGCCTTAAAACTATAATACTTATTATGACGAAGAAGATTTTTCAAACCGCCATCATTTTTAACATGTTTTTTTTCTTGAATTTTATATCAATAAGTCTTTAATTAAATAAGAAATTTATCAGAATACGTTACTCCTACTAATATAATAACTGTGTGAAAAGTTCATTGTTTTCTGAGTGCAGGAGCACAATTTAGAGCAGCTTAAATAATGAAATAGTGTATAAAAAATCGTTTCTAAACAATACTGTCTGATTGCTCCATCCAAAACTTATTTTTTATGAATTTTTTATTGCATACTTTTGAAGTGATTTGTCTGTTCATTTAACATAAATATCTGTTGTTGAAAGTTTAAAAGGTTATAATGTAATGATTTTTTGTAACTTTGTAAAGTATGTCTACAAAGTAAACCACTGACAGCAAACAACGCGGAAATATCACTTACTTATGCACAACAGTGTGAATTAATAAACATAGGTATGCGTTTTTCACTGTACTTTCTTCTATCAAATATCAAACAAGCAACGGCAGCTCGATTACTTTTTCAATTGAACATCCATTACTACAGGACAATATTGTCACTACTAAGAACGTGTGTACGAATAATATCTATGAAAAAGTTGGTTTTGAATTCAAAATTATGTATAAAAAAAAAGGGAACAATGAAGTAAATAAATGAAAATTAAGTAGTTGTGTTAGTTTTACGTAGTTGTACGTCGTAATAGTTTTCACAAAAACTGGCATTTACAGTTATTAAAAATGAAGGTACAGTAGCTCCTTTATTAATTAAAGTAATATATGTTATTTATTAAAATTTTTTGCATTATTCATTATTATGCCGTCGGCTTTGAAATTTATTCCACTAAAACTGCACAAAACAAAAAAGTGAAGTAATTTTTTGACACATAATTTTAAAACAACGAACTAATTTCGTTGTTTCTTTACCATAAATCGTTATAGTTTGTAATAACGATATAAATGGAAAGAAAAGTAACGCCCGAATATTTTTGCCAGGAGGATGGCCCTAAAGAAGCAACGAGCATTTATTTCATGGTCCAACAGGACTACCCAGGTGTGCAGCCAGTGTGTCCCAGTTATGAGAATGATAGGAACAGAGCTAGAGATGACCAAAGCCTTGACTTTCAAGGCACTATGACAGGTAATTAACTCGATTGCTACCTACCTACTAACGATCGCCTATTTGAAAAATGCAAACATTAGCTGCTTGAAACTGGTCGATTTGTAGTGTTGCAAAACTTGTAAATACTTAATGTTAACCTCTAAAAACATCTTTTAATATTTTGGTGCCAAAAGTTTTTAGTCTACGAAAAGACTTATAGTAAGCAGTAAAGTGTTTTTTAATTGCAGACAGTGTGTTCAGATTTCTATATATTAAACAGTTTAGATTATTATCTAAATGAAAATATCATCGGTTATTTGTTACTTTTACTCCACTTTTACTATTTTAAACGTATAGATATATATATCTTTATCTAAATATTTATGTTTTAAAGAATTTTCTTATTTATCTTATCTGAGACAATTTTAATTGGACACACATACACTTTCTTTAATGGAGAGTGGACAGGTTCTCCTAAACTGCGTCAAACTATTTTATCACCTGATTCTTGGAACGCTTGTATATTGGAAAATGTATTTTTGATTTAGTGAATTGTACCTTAGTTCCATCCTATGAACTCAAAAATGCCAAGAAAACTTTCACATTTTAGCTAGAGATCAAATCGTTTTTAACATTAATGAGTATATTCAAGTTTGTTTTAACCATTCTGAACTTCTTGTGATATGCAAAATCGATTCATTTGGTGAAAAGAAGACGATTGGATATAGTTTCAACGTTTGGCGTTTGTAGACTCAATGAATTAGTTCAAAAATCTCAGAAACGATGTTTTCTCTTACGATTTCAATTCATCATATTTAATAAAATAAATTATTTGATATGATTTTATGTCTCAAAAATGAAATACAAAAAAATTGTGTGTCCTGTCTAATAGTAAAAATTTGTTCAAGACATCTCCAATTCTTTAGTAAAGGACGCAGTGTGCAGTTTTTGCTATTCCATAGCTTTTGTCGTTAAATTACATTTTTTTTTTTTGTAATTGTTTACTATTCTCTATCATTTTGTTACTCGAAAGCTATTCGAAATTTCGTTATTATTACATAGTAACAACTACATAAAGCTGATTTAAGCAAGATGGTTTTTCATAGTGTCTTCAAATTTCTTCAGCAAAGAAAAAAAATATGTCTGCATACTTAAATCCAGCATCTGTGTAGATTATGCTATAACATTATTTTTAAAACAAATATCTTTCAACGAAACAAATTTATTTCTCTTTATAGATAGGTAATCGATGTATATGTAACATTCTCGTGTTCCATCAGGTTAGATCAAGTCGGCTCAAGTAACTTAGCTTTAAAATAATCAAATTAATAATATTCACTGCGCTTGCGCAGAGAAACAAAATATTAGAATTAAAAACAAAAAACAAATGTTAATCAAGTGTGAACTCACTGGAAAAAAACGAATTATTTATTGTCTTCATCTCGATGTTTAAAAAATATCGATTGCACAACTCTGTACCCAAATACATTTTGACAATGTACATTCGGCCCATGACTTTATAAAATATGTAAATCAAATTCCAGCAAGATCGTCGTACATAAGTGGCCTATCGCCAGCACCTCCAGCGGACGGGTCCTATTACAACATGTCCGACCCCTATCTTTTGTATCCACCACCTCTGGATTTTCAAGATCCGCGTCCAATACCGGCACTTCCTCACGTGGGTCATATCCGCATCCCGGTGCCACCGGCTCTTCCGGCCAATGAATCTCTTCTCCGCCATCAGCGAGATGCCGTTCCATGGCCAGACGTTCTTCACAATTCCAGCGAGAATCCCCAAAGTCTCCTAGCTCAAATTCTTGCTCAGAAACGACTCCTGACTAGTTTTGGAAAAGGTTATGGTATTAATGAACAAGAAGGATATCTTGTCTGAGACAAGGAGGATATTTTATAGTCCTGTAAAATATAAAGTGCGACTGTTGGTCAATTTTGTGAATTTAAAAAGGATCGCTGAAATATATACAAAGACATAAGTAATCAATGAATAACAGTGTATTTTGCTAAGTTTACTCAACAGTAACTCCGTAAAAACAATTGATAGTGTTGTTTGGATATATTGTTAAATGTTAATTTAAGTTCTTTTTGCATTTTTTACTCAACTAAAGTGTTATTTCTCTTAACTTTGAATATAATTCAATTTTTCGAATTTTATGAGTTAACATTTCCTAAACTTTTGTAAGCTGGTATGGATGTTATTTTCCTTTGTCTTGGGTCTATTTATTTTCTTTTCTTCTACGTACACAACTTTGTTACGTTAATAAATTTTGTACCTACACATATTAGGAAAACAGGATTTTTTATTTATTTTCAAACAAACTTATCCTCGTTTTACTCATTACTTGTTTTCGTAAAAATCAAACAAAATGAGTAGCAAAATATCAATATCAATCAATATGAACAAATGAACATTTCAAATGCGGTGCGATTTTAAACTAGGTTACACGATCGATGCTAGACATTTGGCCGCCCGTGAAAGAATGACTGACGCCCTTCCACTTTTTTTAAATATATTTTTTACATATACAGGGTGATTTAACTTAAATGACCCACTTACCTGTTTCTTATAGGCACCCCAACATATATACAGTATCCGTTTACTTTGACTAAAAATTTTATTTTCACAATGGCATGAAAACAAATTTGCTTTTCTTTTTTGAAATGTCAGTTACTGTCACATAAATACAAGTAATTTTAAATTAATGATTATATTTTTCAATAAAACACAAGATGTTCTGAAGAATATTAACATGACCAACCTCTCTCTGCTCACAAGAGTCAATTCTCAGGGGCGGCTCGTGACCTTTTGAAATGTGGGTACACAATTTGATTGATGAGTTAAATATGAAGATATAGAACAGGTTGTTATTACCAATTAAAAGACGAAATTGTGTGCCGGAAATAAATACAAAAATACATTCAATAAATGTAAAAAAGGATTTCTCCACATTCCTTTTTGCCTTCGGTTAAAATTTTACGTTCATAGCATCCAAAAGTTCATTTTCAACAGTTTTAGGCGTTTCTTTAAAAACCGTTGCTTCTTTCAAATGATTTCTTAAAGTAGAGTCCAATTCATAATGCCGAAGCCTTTGAAAATGGTAAAAAGTGAAAAAAAATTAGAACAGGATGATATCCATTGCAAAAAGAAGAAAATATAACAAAAATAAAAGGAAAAATAATTTACGGGCGATCTGGAGTCGGGAAGTGGAAGAGGGTGAGCTTTTAAAGGTAGAAAACGGTTTATCACGATTTCCGGCAAAACTACAAGTCCTATCGCAAAAAGTTAAATGGCAAAGTTGTAGGTAATAAAAAGATCTACAAGTTTTGTATTTACATTTTCTTTACATAACCTCAAAATTTATGCGAAAAATGCAAATAACCGAGTTTTAGGTTTTTTATTTTTATCTCCCAGAAAAAAAAATCACAAAATTTGGTGAAAACTTACCTATTTATGTCCCAAACTCACTGCAATTTTTTTTATTCAAAATATCTATTTTTCCCCTTATTTTGATTTAATATCGAAAAACCACCCTAATTTTCAATCGAAAATTCTCACGTCATAATAATTGCTTTTTTGAAAAAATCGGTGTGCTTTTTGTTTGCCGAAATCTCTACTTTCTGATGGTGTAAAAAAATATACATTACTATTGCAAATTTTCACAGGAAATAGAAAAAAAGAAGAAACTCGAATTCGAAAACGAAATATATATATTTAATCAAGAGTTTTACAATTCTGTGTATTATATTTGGTCAAAGTGTAACGGTCGTTGATCTAAATACTCCTCTGCGTCTGATTTAGTCATCCCATGTTCATCCACAAAAATCAACAGACACAGTTCTGGTAACAACACTTTAAAAATATACCCCAAAAATTTATTATCCGGATCTAACTCTGCTTCTATTAACTTCAACAAATGCTCCTTTTGTTCGTAGGAAAAAACGGCGCAACTAGTACTACACGTCAAGTCCTGACCAACCGCACGTACGTCGCTCTTAAAAAAAGAATTATGTCTTTGTGAAAATTTATCCCCCTTCATGATGGTCTTCAAAGTCTTCAAGTGCTTCCAGAAACTCTTGCTTAATTCCTCAAGCGACACGTGCTTGCAATCCAGAAGCTCCCCAGTGAACTCCTTCTCCTTCAAACAATCGGTCGCCAAAGACACCTTCAACATCCCCTCATCGAAAACATCCAACCGCTTAACACTTTCCTTATGCTCTTCAAACTTCTTATGATCAGCCACGATCTTCTCAAACGACGGCAACACGATCTCGTACTTTTCAAAAGACGATTCCCGTTTCAAACTTCGGTCCTTTTTCTTTGTAGTAATGTCCAGAGGCTTCAGTTTCGCTTTTGTTTTACTCAAAGATGACACAACTTTCAGTTTGCTTTTTTCGCCCATTTTGCTCCTCGAAGAGGTCCATTTTTTTGTTGTCGTGGGTTGCTCTTTCACGAGTTTGGATAACGAGTCGATTAATTTATTTGTGGCCTTCTGGTCACTGCGATCTTGTTTTGTTTTGGATTTATTCATGTTACACAGTGAGGTTATGTCGAAGACAGGACTGCACTAATACTGATTTTACATATCAAAGTTCGCAAGATAACACTTTCTTTGCGTGTTTTTTATTATCACCTTGTTTAAAAAAAATACACTGCTTTTATACTTTAATTTAAATCGACAGACTGTCAATTACTTTGAACGTCACTTAATCAGTGGTGTATGTGCTTATACCAGTGGCGTAACAAATGGTTGCTTTCAAAAATTTTATTTCAACATCAACATATACAGCATGTCTTAGAAATAAGTACATAGAACTCATCAAAATCAACAACTTTTTTAATAGGGTTTTATCAGAAACTATTTAATTATAAAGTTAAAAATTGTTAAAATTTTATCCCAATTAAGGTTACCCGCCCTTGGATCCTCAATCACCCATGGACACTAATAATACATATAATTATTATAATTAATAATCTATGGTCAAAAACAATTACTAGGACACGTATTTTTCTAATCATGTCAACATGACAAACATTTAGAGAGAAATTGAAAGTGCTGATCCCTAATAGCGTACGAAATTTCATCGGCCCAAATGTGGGTGTTGATTACACCTCCTTCGTGTATCCGGTCCCATCAATTGATGGTACAAGAGATACAAAATTTGCTTGTTCGTTTATTTTTCTATTATTATTAATATTATTAATACAAAAATAAGGATAGAGGTAAAACCTATGCATCCGAATAGAAATAAGAGACAATTTCAATAACAAAAGAAAAAAAGCTGCACTCCTAAATAATACAAATAATTGGATATACTAAAACTTATAAATTGAATGTGTCGAATCTGTTCTTGAAGCAGTTAACACTGGGAGAAATAACAATTGTATCAGGAAAGCTGTTCCATTGGTTCACCACACGGTTTACATACGTCAATGAGCGGTACCAAATCAGTAAGATCTTTGGTATTTATTACCGTATATTTGAATTTACCAGCTTAGTAATTATGTTTATTCCAATTAATAAAGTAGTAAATTAATATTCAGCCAGTTATGTTTAAGTGAAATTAATCATTGAACGTTTTACATTAAGAGTTATACCAGAGAACATAGAGAAGCGTCATCGTTTAACTCAAATGACTGTTGAGGACTCCCCAATTTATATTGGTAGCAATGTTTGTTTCTAATTAGGAATAAAAGTAACTAGAAGAAATGTCATAATATTTTTTTCTACTCACTATATAGAAAATGTGATTTTCTGCTCTCATTTAAGGGCACAAAGTGTCACTTTACCTCCCGGCGGGAGGTAAACTATTTTGGCTCCCGCCGGAAGCTAAAGTACATTTTTGTCAAAAATGACGTTTACAAATTTATAAACTTGCTACTTCTAAAACGTCTGGACGGGTACAATTATTATCTAAAGCACTACTTAAATCCAAATCCTATATTTTTTCCAAAATTAATGCGTTTTAAAGAACACAAATCTACAGTTCACGAGACGCTTTGTTCAAATGCGATTAATTGTTTATTTGTTTGAAAATTGTCATAGAAACTATCTAGATGACTTAGTTTATTGCGGCAATAATTAAATTTTTTATTTAAACTTGTATAAACTTGATTTTAAACGTTCGTTCTGTTGATGTAATTCCTTAATTTTGTATTTAATAACCTTAGAGTGAAAAATCTATTATTTTTATGTCTATGGTATTTGACATACTCCTGTATACAAGTCGATTAATATAGAAATGTTTTATTTGGCTGCTTTTCTTGGTGAAAAATCTTAACACGTTCGAAGAAAAAATTATATATATATATATCACTTGACCAAAATGCCATTTCCTCCCTCGGATTCTTAAGGCCCTCCGCTACGCGTCGGGCCTCAACCTGAATCCGCGGGAGGAAATGTTTCACTTTGCTCCCTTGATATATAAATAACTATTAACGACGCGTTTTATTTTCGAAAAATTGACACTAGATTTACCAGAATATTACAAGCTAGTTACTGTTTCCTTCACTTTCATTCAGGTCACACGAATTACAATTATAATGAAACAAGGTTTTTATTGACATCAACTAGTTAAATTTGGCGGTTGAGGACTCCAATGTCGCTAAGGGTGGTTTTGCAAAATCAGCCTGTATCTCGTGTTTATCTTAATCTATGGTTATACCTGCGTGCCGCGATCTAAAACTGTGCAGATGGTCCTAATCCTTCTAATAAGAGTTGGAGGCAAAACTACCTGGGAGGCAAGGATCGCTTGCACGTGGCACGGTGGTCAGTTTACCGCTGTGGGTGGTCTAACTCCCGTTGTGCTCAAACAAAAAATTATAATAATAATAATAATAATAATAATAATAAGCTACAGTTCCTAGAACCTATTACAGAGCATTAATAACTATCAATTACGCAAAAGAAACAAGGTGGAACCGATGATTTAAATATTAATTAAAACAAAAACCTAAATCAAATCCTAAGTAAATAAATAATAATTTACG